TCATCTCACTGGCCCCTTAAACAACCCTGTTATTATTATTCCCATTTTAGAGAGAGGGAAACTGAGGCTTAGAGATGGCTCGTCATTTGTGGTCATGAGTTAGCAAAGGGCAGAGTCAGGGAATGAACACCCCTGTCATTCGGGCTGTTGTGTGAGGGGCCAGAGTATTTCAAAATCCACACATGGGTTTTTTCTGAAGTATCTGACTGGAATGCTCCACCTTTGAACAAATTTTCATGTGAAACTTGGAGGCACTGGGGCTAAGGGGGTTGAGAAAATGGGGAGCTAGTAGATGACTCTGCCCTGGAGGAGTCCAGCCCCAAACCAGGTGAGGTGCTGTCTGAGGGGCCTCCTGAGGCACAGAGAAAGTAGGAAAAGGAAGGACTCCTCTAGGGGAGGGAGATTCTAAGCAGGGAACGACAGAGAAGACCAATGACCCCCAAAACTGGTTCCTTGAGAAGATCAATAAAAATGATAAACATCAGATAAACAACAAGGTCCTACCGTAAAGTACAGGGGACCATATTCCACATCCTATGATAAACCATAATGGAAAAGAATATGAAAAAGAATATATATACATAAAACACCGAGTCACTTTGCCGTACAGCAGAAACGAACACAACACTGTAACTCAACCATGCTTCAGTAAAAATGTAAAAAGCAGTGTCAAACTAAAAACACAAAACTCAAATACAAAAAAAAAACCATAAACATCTGGGTCAGGAAAAGGAGAAAAGACACGAATTACCAATATCAGAAATGAGAATACTGACACCACCACAGATCTTACAGACAACTTGGAAAAGTGGATGAATTGCCTGAGAGACACAAACTTACCAAAGCTGATTCTGAAAGAAACAGACAATTAGATAGGCAAGAGTACTCTCTATTATCAATAATAAAATTATATTTGCAGTTAGAAACCTTTCACAAAGAATACTCTAGGCCCATATGGCTTCACTAGTGAATTCTTTTCAAAATCTTAAGGGGAATAATTATTCCAATTTTACCCAAATTTTGTGACTTCCCTGGTGACTCAGATGGTAAAGAATTTGCCTGGAATGCAGGAGACCCAGGTTTGATCCCTGGGTCAGGAAGATCCCCTGGAGAAGGAAATGGCAACCCACTTCAGTATTCTTGTCTGGGAAACCCCATGGACGGAGGAGCCTGGCAGGCTACAGTCCGTGGGGTCGCAAAGAGTCAGACACAACTGAGCCACTAACACTTTCACTTTCTAAAACATTGAAAAGGACTCATTTAATGAATCAGCATTACCTTTATGCCAAATCCAGACAAATACATTTTAAGAAAAGAGAACTACAGACCACTATTCCTCAGCAACATAGAAGCAAAAAGGCTAAACAAAATCTCTGACATCAGATCTAGTGATATATAGACAGGAGACTGCATCATGACTAAGTGAGGTTTGCCCCACTCAGAAAGGCAAGATTAATTGATTAGATAGTCAATGTAATTTGTCACATTAATAAATGAAAAAAGAAAATCATATAATCATTTCAATAAAGGTAAGGAAAATGTTTGAAAAAATCTAATACCTATTCCTGATTTAAAAAAAAAAAACTCTCAGAAAACAATGAATAGAAGGAAACTTCCTTCCCTTGAAAAATACAAACTGTCACCATCTCATCACATATTTAGTTAATTCAAAATGGATCATAGATCTAAATATAAAACCAAAAACTATAAATGGATCAAACATTTGTGACCACGTGTTAGGCAAAGATTTCTTAGGCTTGTCATAATCTGTATCTTTTACATACGCGTGATCTATACATCAACAGTTTGAAATTTTGAATTGCATCAAAATTCAAAACTTCTGCTTTCAAAGGACAGTTAAGAGAATTAAAAGACAAGCTCTATAATGAGAGAAAATATTTGAAAATCATATATCTGCTGGGATGGGGAATACATGTAAAAATAAATAAATAAATAAATAAATAAAGTAAGTAAAAAAAAAAAAAAAGATAATCATATATCTGATAACTTAGATTCAGAATATATATACAAAGAACTCTCAACACTCATTCATAGGGACTTCACTGGTGATCCAGTGGTTAAGACTCCACGCTCCCCAAGCAGGGCCCACCTTCAGTCCCTGGTCAGGGAACTTAGACCCACATGCCATGTCTAAGAGTTCCCATACCTCAACTAAATATCCTGTACCAGGAAACAAAGATCGTGTGTGCTGCCAACTAAGACTTGGTGCAGCCAAAAAACAACGAAACATAACAAATCAATCATAAGAAAATGAACAACCTGATAGAAACAGGGGCAAAAGACTGGGACAGGAGTGTCACCCAAGAAGATTCTGTGGATGGCAAGCAACTACAGGAAAAGATGTTTCATATCATTAGTCATTTGGGAAATGCACATACAAACCACAGTGAGATACCACCACACACCCAGGAGGACAGTAAGAAATAAAATATGAACCACACCTGTGTAGGGGTCTTTCTCAGCCACTTTATGTCAAAACCTGGAGAGCCATGAGCCTGTGGACATGCCCTGAGCCTGCAGGCCTGGGCATTTCTCATGCTCACACCAGCCTACACTCAGCCTCCAGCAAGTTGTCATTTAAGAAAAAAACCTCCAGATTATGGCTCTAGCAGCTCCTGCTCCAAGGAAGTAGATCTTATTTGTGACCTTCCGATAGTTTGCCCTTGGATCCCAGTTCTCTGATGTGTCCAGGGAGAGTAATCGGTCTTCGCGTTGTTCAGCACTTTTCTTGTGGTGAGAATGGGTGTAAGCCCAAGCTTTTTACACGTCAGAGCTGAAACTGAAAGTCAGGACAAGCACTTTGGAAAACAGTTTGGCAATGTCTTGAAGAGTTAAACATATAATTGTCGTATGATTTGGCCAGTCCATTCCTACGTATTTACCCAAGAAAAATGGAAGGCAAACGTCGGTGGCAGTTTTGTTTAAAATAACCTCAAACAGGAAACAACTGAAATGTCTATTGGCACATGAATGGATGGACAAAATTGTGCTATATCCAGATAATGGAATTTTAGTCATAAAACAGAACAAACTATTGATCCGTGCTTCTGTATATTAACTGTACCTCAATAACTTAAAAAAAATGATTGAAACATGTTATATATAGATGAATAATATAGACGAATCTTGAAAGAACTGCCAAATGAAAGAAGCTACACAAGAAAGAGTACAAAGTTTTTGACCATATACGTGAAATTTAACATTCATATACCTGAAATTTCCATATATGTGAAATATACGAAACAGGGACAGGAAGCAGATGGATCCCTACCAGGGGCCAAGGGTGTTGCTGGGTGGGAGGAGGAGGGAGGGATCGTATGGGAGCATGGGGAACACTTAGGGGATGAGATGCACATTCCTTGATTATGGTGAGGGCTGCACATGCCATGCACATATGCTAAGACTTATCCAGTGGAACACTGTTCAGTCACTCGTTTAGTTCAGTTCAGTTGCTCAGTCATGCCTGACTCTTTGGGACCCCATGGACTGCAGCACACCAGGCCTCCCTGTCCATCACCAACTCCTGGAGTTTACTCAAACTCGTGTCCATTGAGTAGGTGATGCCATCCAGCTATCTCATTCTCTGTTGTCCCCTTCTCCTCCTGCCTTCAATCTTTCCCAGCATCAGGGTCTTTTCAAATGAGTCAGTTCTTCACATCAGGTGGCCAAAGTATTGGAGTTTCAGCTTCAACATCAGTCCTTCCAATGAACACTCAGGACTGATCTCCTTTAGGATAGACTGGTTGGATCTCCTTGCAGTCCAAGGGACTCTCAAGAGTCTTCTCCAACACCACAGTTCAAAAGCATCAATTCTTCGGTGCTCAGCTTTCTTTACAGTCCAACTCTCACATCCATACATGACTACTGGAACAGCCACAGCCTTGACTAGATGGACCTTTGTTGGCAAAGTAATGTCTCTGTTTTTCAGTATGCTGTCTAGGTTGGTCATAACTTTCCTTCCAACGAATAAGTGTCTTTTAATTTCATGGCTGCAGTCACCATCTGCAGTGATTTTGGAACCCTCAAAAATAAAGTCAGCCACTGTTTTCACTGTTTCTCCATCTATTTGCCATGAAGTGATGGGACCAGATGCCATGATCTTAGTTTTCTGAATGTTGAGCTTTAAGCCAACTTTTTCACTCTCCTCTTTCACTTTCATCAAGAGGCTCTTAAGTTCTTCTTCACTTTCTGCCATAAGGGTGGTGTCATCTGCATATCTGAGGTTATTGATATTTCTCCCGGCAATTTTGATTCCAGCTTGTGCTTCATCCAGCCCAGCATTTCTCATGATGTACTCTGCATATAAGTTAAATAAGCAGGGTGACAATATACAGGCTTGATGTACTCCTTTTCCTATTTGGAACCAGTCTGTTGTTCCATGTCCAGTTCTAATTGTTGCTTCCTGACCTGCATACAGATTTCTCAAGAGGCAGGTCAGGTGGTCTGATATTCCCATCTCTTTCAGAATTTTCCACAGTTTATTGTGATCCACACAGTAAAGGCTTTGGCATAGTCAATAAAGCAGAAATAGATGTTTTTCTGGAACGCTCTTGCTTTTTCGATGATCCAACGGATGTTGGCAATTTGATCTCTGGTTCCTCTGCTTTTTCTAAAACCAGCTTGAACATCTAGAAGTTCACAGTTCACGTATTGTTGAAGCCTGGCTTGGAGAATTTTGAACATTACTTTACTAGCATGTGAGATGAGTGCAATTGTGCAGTAAGTCGTGTCCAACTCTGCATTGATGAACTTTCAAAGCTGAATGGAGTGGTCTACTATTAATACAGATTAACCCCACATGAGCACTGTGTGTGATTATAACTTTGTTTTGAACATGACCAGGAGAAGCAGGTCTTTAAGAATGCTGTAGAAAGAACACAGCTCTCTCACCCACACGTATGTCCTTCCAGTTTGCACCCGTCCAGTCCTGGCAGCTCTATGAGCATCTCCTGTGTTACCTGTTCCCTTCTTCCCCTGCGATGCCCAGGACCTCGGCAGGGACCTCGGCGGGCCAGTAAGCCGCAGTCGGGAAGGTGTTCAGAGACCATTAGTACAGGAAGCACGGCAAAATCCAAAGAAACCATGAACCAGTGAGTTGGAAAACACTCCATGAAAGGCCTTTTCAGCCTGCTTCTTTCAGGAGGAGTTTGTTTTTGGATTAAAGGAGTTTATTCAGGTATTCACAAATACCCAGGCTCCGCACCAGCTGGAGAGTGGAAGCCCGTCCGTCAGGATCAATTGCCGTGCAGGGGACTGGCATGTTCCGACTGGGGAATACACGGATGAAAGCGGCGTAATTAGGTGACACGCCTTCAAAGGAGATGAAAGACCCAAAACATCCTCAAAAACGTAGGCAAAAATACACCCAGAAATCACTACTTTCTTTATTTTGGAAGTAGCAGTTCCAATAAAAGGCTAGGTGTCAACGGCATGGAATGTAGCAGTCTTGCACTGGGGCTCTTTCTTTCTTTCTCTTTTTTTCCTTCCTCGCTCGGTGAAGAAAAATGATGGAACTGTCATTCCTGTGTTTCCTCCACTCCTCTGGCAAGTGGTGTAAATGCCTCCCTCCCTAAAGGGTCTCTAGACTAAGCTGACGCTTTCAAGGCTGTTCCCTCGGGGCGGAGACAGGACAGGAGGATGGGGGCGGGGTTGGCTAATGGCACAAGTGTTTGATGCACACCCCTCACCCGCCATCAGATTTTTCTCCGACTTTTCTGAATGGCTTATTTGTATTCTTAACTCCTTTGGTTAAAAAACAGGGCCTTTTCTCTGCTTACATTGCTAAGAAAACACACAAAGTTCCATAATCTTTCAAGTTCTGTTTCCCTGGGCAATTCTTATTCTCCAATTTCGTTAAATTCAGGAGATTGGCAGGTCTGAGGATGGGGGGTTCTTTAGCTGGGGATTCATCCATCTATTCCCCTGTGCCATCCATTTTCAGATGAGAAAAAGGAGCCCCAGTGAGGCTGCGTGGTCTTACTCTAAGCAATAGGACTGGAGCCAAAACTGATTTTGATTCCTACCTGACTATGTTCCCCACTGTTCAAGATATTGCTTCCCCATTTTCCTTTATCTGTAATCCTTTAATGGACATACTCGGACTCTTTTCGCAGCACTCATTAACACATATTTAAATAATTATGGAAAAATCCGCATTTTATGCATCCTTAAGCACTCTGACCTCTGGGTTTCTACAGCCAGATGTGAGGGAGTGCCGGCTATTTGGCACATTTTAATTGGGGCCCTGATGGTGGCCTCGTTCGCCCCTGCGGTCTTGAAGCAGCCCGCAGCACACCTGCCTCATTGAGCTCAGAGGCTTCAAGATGCTGACACAAACACTCAGCGTTTACTTTTTCTTCTCTCCCTCCCCCCTCCCTTTCCTGGCTGAACTTGAGGGTGCAGAGTGAATGTGCTATTGAAAGACCACTTTGACGGCACCACTGACTAAGGATTCCTCGTGGTTGGCAGGGTTTTTCCAGTTTAGATCAGGGCTGCACAGAAGGGGATCGGTGGTATTCATTGCCAAGACAGTGGTTATAGCTTGAAGTAGAAAGCATATATATATATATACATCTTGAGGTAGAAGACATAAGTATATATATATATATATATATATATATATATATATATATATACATAAATACATGTTTTCCTTGTCTATGTATGTATGGGTGTCTGTGCGTTATATATATAATTTACATATATATATATATTTATTTATCCAAACATAGAGTCACACTGTTATGTGCTTTTGTAACAGCACATTACTTTATGCTCATTTTCTTTGTCAGTACACCTGAAGTTAAGGGCATAATATTTCATCATATGTCACATGGATAGATCATCAGTTTTAAAAAACCAAGTGTCTACTGCTGGACAGAGACATTTAGTTTGTTCATTTAATTTTGCTGTTATTGACAGCATTTGATAAGACACCTTAGCACACCACACCTTTTCAGTCTAGTCCGAATCCTTACTGGGGCCAAACTCCTATGATGTTGTCCTACAAAGGTCTGCACATCTTAAATGCGGACACGTATTGTTCTTACAAGAAAGGTGGGCTGTTGCTAGTGCTGTTCAGTGGCTCAGTCGTGTCTGACTCTTTGCAACCCCATGGACTGTAGCCCGCCTGGCTCCTCTGTCCATGGGATTCTCCAGGCAAGAATACCAGAGTGGGCTGTCATTTCCTCCTCCAGGGGATCTTCCCGACCCAAGGATGGATCCTGTGTCTCCTGAATGGCAGGTGGATTCTTTACCACTGCACCACCTGGGAAGCCTTAAGAAAGGTGGAGAGAATTGAGAATTCCATTGCCTGTGTTAGAGAAGCCCCCTCCCCCACCCCCGACCATCAGCAGCACTGTGTATTCACTAAAAGCAGTCTTTGCCCATGATATTTTGAAATGTCCCATTGATTGAGAAGGTTTGATGGGAAGGGTGAGCGGGTAGTGGGCTGGAAGGGTGGGCAGGGTCGCTTGTGGACAAACTGGGGCTCTTGTGCAGGGAGGGTACAGCCACTGTGGAAAGTGGCATGGTGATTCCTCAAAGAATTAACAAAATTACTGTATGATCCAGCAATCCCACTTCTGGAATACACCCAGAGGAGCAAAAGCAGGGACTCGGATACTTATGCACGTCCATTCATAGCAGCATTATTCTAACAGCCAAAAGGTGGAAGTAAGCCAAGCGTCCACTGACAGATAGTGAATAAACACCATCTCTGGTCTTCACCCACACAGTGGAATATTATTCGGGCTTCAAAAGGGATGGGGCAGTGACACCTGAGGACACTGCTCGGTGACACAAGCCGTCACAGAGAGGGAAATACCGCACGATTCCACTGATAAGAGGCACCAGACTAGTCAGATTCATAAAGACAGATGGTTGAACAGCGGTACTAGGGGCCAGGGAAGAGGTGACAGGGAGTTAGTGTGTAATGGGGACAGAGACTCTCTTTGGGAAGACGGAAAAGTTCTTAAGATGGATGGTGGTGAAGCTTGCAAAATAACATGAACAACACTGAACTGTACACATAAAAAGGGTTAAATGATAAATTTGATGTTTGTTTTACCATAACTGGGCTTCCCTGGGGGCTCAGATGGTAAAGAATCCACCTGTAATGCAAGAGACACAGGTTTGATCCCTGGGTTGGGTGGATACCCTGGAGAAGGGAATGGCTACCCACTCTAGTACTCTTGCCTGGAGAACCCCATGGACAGAGGGGCCTGGGGGGCTACAGTCCATGGGGTCACAGGGTCGGACTGTGCAGTTTACCACAATTAAAGGCAACATCTGACAGCAGTTGCAGCCATGAGGGGCGCCTCCCTCACCGCTTAGGGGCCCCAGAGTGAGAAGATTGGGAGCACCCCCCTCAGGACCAGTGATGAAAGGGGCCCCTAGAGTCGACCAGGGGTGCGGGGGGCTGTGCCTGGGGCACCCAGTACAGGGGAGGCCCCACCCAGCTCTCATCCATCAAGGCCCAGGTGCCAAGAGGTCACCCAGGGGACATGCTCCTGCAGAGAGGCCACCGAGCTGCCAATGTGTCAACGCGTCTCCGCTCAGAGGCGCTGATGGAGATAAGAATGCAGAAGAGGTGTAACCCAAGTGTCATCTGAAAGCTACCAGGGGTTCAGCCGCACTTCAAAGCAGACACGGGGCGGGGCCCAAAGACGGGGGTGCAGACAGCACGCTGGGGCCAGTGATTGCCACTTATCATATTCCACCTGGCTGGCGTGTGAAAAGGCGGCGGGACCTCCCCAGGGACGGTGACTGGTAACTGGTAAATCCCAGGAAAGTCGAGAGAGCTCAGACGGGAAGGCACGCCTCGTCCCCAGCAGCGGCCGAAGCCCTGGGTCCCGGTTAACCAACTAACCAGCTAGACGCTGCAGGAATGGCCTGGCCAGGAACACGAGGTTCCGATGGTGGTCCAGGCAGCCCCAGGCGGGAGGCACAGAGTGTGCCCGTGGAATCTGACTCTCGTTCCAGGAAAACAAATGAGGATGGAGAATCAACTCCCCCAAGTCTGGGGTGCTTGAGTCCAAAGAAGAAAAAATAACCAAGTGTCTGAAAGCACGCTGTGTGAGCAAACTTGATGCCTTCTCTGCAAACGTGGTGGTCTCTTCCTTTAAGGAGGGGCAGGCAGAAAAGAACACCTTCTGCTGGTCTCTGTCAGGGGTCGGCATCAGGAGAGGGGTCAGCAGGGGCGGGAGGTGAGGGGAACCGGGTGTGGGAGGGACGCGAGCCCCCTCCCTGAAGTGGGAGCACGGGGAGAGAGGTGGAGGGGGATGGCAAGAGAGTTCAGCAGCCTCGAAGTCCCTGCAGTCACCCCGGTCTGTCTGGGTCTCTGCTTGAGGACCACAAGGAGCCCTGGGATGGCCAAGAAGAGGCAGTGGTTCCACAGCTCAGGGTCGTGTCTCAGGTGGCGCGGTGGGTGTGGACTGTGGGTGGCAGGGAGGTGGCGCTGAGGCGTCCAGGCGAGGTGGCGAGGCTCAGGCTGGGACTGGCCGTGAGGGTGCAGGGGCGGACGGTGCTGCTCGAGGCTGAACGAGCCTCTGAATGAGCGCTCCCTAGAGTGCTTCATCAGAACGTGTGTGGGGATGGGACAGCCTCTGCGTTCTGTCCGAGAGAAGAGGTGATATAATTTGTTGTGGGGGTGGGCAAGTGGGGCACAGTTAGTGGAAGGAGAAGCGGGCCTCGTGCAGAAGCAGGAAAACCAAAGTCATGGCTGGAGTCCATATCTCCTGCTAGAGCCGTCTGGGGCTGGAGGGGACTCTCAGTGACCACGTCACTTCCCCTCTAGGGCAGAGAAGAGCAGAGAGTCAGAGTGCGGAGGCACCCAAGCCCACTTTGCGGCTGGGGAGCCTGGCCTGCGCCTCCCAGATGTGGCCTGCCAGCTGCAAACACTGACCCCGCGCCCCCGATGGACACCCCTGCTGCTCACGTGATAATGCAGAGCTCCGGTCCTTAGTCAGTGCAGTCCGCGGGTGCCCAGTCAGCCAACGGGGTGAGCCCCTCCAGGACGGCAAAAGGCCAGCGTGCTCCACCTGGTCGGCTCAATTGATTGGTAGAGCAAGTGGACATCCCAATATGGAAATGTGGGGATGGAGAGGCGGGGGTCACTGGGGGGCCATGCCTCACCTTGGTAACTCCAATCAGCAGGGGTTCGAAAGTGGCCGTGCGTTGGGGTGGGTCACAGGCTCCAGGAGGCATTCCGGGGACACAGCTCAGGAGGAGTGGTCAGAGTCTCGGGTGAAGCCTGTCACCCGTCTGATCTCAGTGCCCCCTGAGTAGGACGAGTGGGTGGTTCTTCCACAGTGCAGGTCAGGCTCAGTTTGAAACCCTCCAAGTCTGCAGGAACAGGGGTATCTAAGGAGGTCCAGAGGGAGGATGGGGCAAGAGCGAGCTGCGCTGGAGATGCGGATGCAGACCTGTCTGGAGTGCTGGCTGGAAGCCAGGCGGCTGCTGGGGTCATAGCCTGGCTCCAGAACCCCCCTCTGCCCCTGCCACTGTGAGGCTGGCGGCCACTGGCTCACCTTCCTGTGCCTCAGTTTTCCCACCTTTGCGGGAAGGACAGTTCTGGGAGGTCAGGGAGCTGCACGCGGACCCAGTGCTGCGGGTTCATGGTCTCCCCTCCCTGCTCAACATTTCTCTGTGTACTCTGGAATCAAGAGACACCCGAGTGTAGAATAAATTATGAGATCCGCATGGCCCAGGTCAAACTTGCCTAGACTGCTTAAAAATGCCTCTGATTTAACTCTGCAGAACGCTGAGTGGTTTAACCTTTTGGGTTCTTTAAATAAACTCTCTTTGCTCTGAATGCCATTCTAGCTTGGACTGGAACCAGCAGAGCGGCTGGCTCCTCCCCGTTCCCCTGCGCTCGATGGATGCGCCTTTTTACCAGGCGGGCACGGTGCTGCCTGTAGTCACATGGCCCGTGTCTGCCACGAGCGCACGTCAGCCATGAGCGAGGACCTCAGAGACTCAGCTGCAAACGTCCTTGGCTTGAGGCAGACATTGCCTTTTGGGTTAGTCTGCTACCAGAATCTTCTGCCTCCTGTCAAAGACAGTCAAGTCAGGGCACATCTCCCCAGTGCAGAGAAAACATCAGTTTTATAGGAAACCCCAACACAGCCTTTCATGTGCATGCATAAGGGCTCCCATCCCTCCAGCACATCTGGGGACCCGGGAGATGCATGGAAAGATTTGTGATTAAAATGCTCCCTCTTCATGTGCAGGAGCATCCTGGAAAAAAAGTGGACCTGAAATAACCCAATTCCAGACGGGAGGCTCCCCAATGGCAGGTCACTCCCGCCAGGTCTGGGACTGAAGCCCCCACGAGGTTATGGTGCTGACTCCCGTCAGACTAGGGAAGACCCGGCTCCAACCTCCATGACCTTGGGCGTCTTGTTACTCATCTCTGCATCTGTCTGTGATGCTGTTGTGAACATCACATCAGATCATGCCTTCAAAAAGCAGGCGCGTGGTGAATGCCGGGTAAATCACTACAGTTTACTGAGTGTTTGTACTGTAATAGCTTTTTTATGCTATCGGTTCTTTTAAAGCCAAAAAACAAAAGCCCTGTGAGACGCTTATCATTGTCATCATCTCACAGACGAAGAGTCTGAAGCCCGGGAGCTTTGAGTAACATGCGAAAGCTCACCCAGCTGCGCAGTTCTGTCTCCCACTGCTTGCAGCACACTGCCATTCACGTCAGCTTTCCTTCTTCTTCTTCTGTGAATCTTCTTCCTATTTCCAATCCTCTCCCTTCACCACACCCCTGCCACCTGACAGCCCAGCTCATTGATGACCATGTCCTCGTTTCTTTTCCTTCCTGGTGCTTGCTGCATGAATGACATGCCTGAACTCGACTCTCCCAGATGAACTTGAGTTCATCTTTCAAGTCCGGTGCTCAAGCATAAACTCCTCTCTGAATTCTCCCATGGTCCCTGCAATCAAGGTCATGGCTATCTCAGAGTGCCTGGTGTCCGTTCTTTCCACTGCGTCTGAGAAGTGGTCACTCATTCTTCCCTCCCACTGAGACTGCAGTTTGTTTCTCTGCCCTGGATCCAGGGCTTGGCCATGTGACATGCTGTGGCCACGGGGCCATTAGCAGACATTCTGGGAGTGCTTGGGCATGGGGCTCCACCCTGGCTGCTCTTGGGACGCTGAGAACTCATGTGAACGAGCCTGGGCCAGCCGCTGGAGACTGAGGTCCACAGGAGGCCGAGACATGAATGAAGACTTGTTGCTTCATCTAGCTCCCAGCTGACCACAAAGCAGGAGAGAGCCAGCAGATAGTAACTGCCCATCCCAAGCCAGGGGAACCACCCAGCCTCCTTGCAGCATTGTGAACTGAATAAGTTTTCAGGTGGATTGTTACACAGCACTAGCCAACTGATACATTCAAGTGGCTCCACTGCCTAGATCAGTGCAGGTCCTGACATAGATGTTCCAGGAGGGAATGAACCATGGCTCAGTTCAGAGTTGGAAGAACGGATGGGAAGACAATGAAGTGTGACTTGGAGGGAACTTTAGCTAAGTCGGTCCTGGGAATGTTCCCTTTCTTTCCTCTCCCATCTTTAGAAGGATCTCCCATCTTTAGCTGCTGTAATGAGCTCCATTAACACCTGTCAGCCTGAATTACCAGTCTGCACTCAGCAGTCACTTCTCGTCCACTGTGTTTTGATTGGCAGTCGACACTTAAAGCTTCCTCAGCTGCAGGACAAACACCCCAGAGTCAAGTGCTCCCCAGCATTTTTGAAGAGCAAGGGTCATGCATTTCGTCAAACACTCTTCCACCTGTGTCCTTCTGAAGTGTGCTCATAATTAGCTTCCTGCCCTGCAGTCTTGGCAAGTGAACCCTGGAAGTGACGTCCCATCCTTCTCAGAGTATCCTATGGGTGGGGGGGCAGGTACATGATGTACACATGTCTTACTACTGGTGATGACAGTGACAGGATTTTGTGGTTAAGGTGGTGTCTGCCAGGCTTCTCTAAAGATGCTTTTTTCCTGGTCATGTTCTATTTCACTGGCCATGTGCTTGTCCAGCTGTATCCCTGGATGGACACTGTTGGAGGACAGGGTCCATGTCTTTTTCCTCATTGCTGTATCCCCAGCACCTGTGACCACATCTCTTTTTTGTGTGTGCTCAACAACATCTTATTAAATAAATGAATGTCATGAAAGATACAACCAATCTTCAGGGAGCTGACATAGTTGGTTTTAGACCGATTATCTGGAACAGAAAGGGCTAATGATTCCATCCATGCCTCCTGCACGTCCCATGTCTTTTAGTTAAGCTCATACTTTACTTCGCTATCCTCTTACTCTTAACCCACAGCTGAATGAAACACACTGAGGACCCCTGATCTGGGTCCTGTGAAATTTCAGAAGGCCAGGCAGAAAGCAAACAATCTTTAATTAGCAATAGAAAATCGGTATTTCTCATTGACCCGTCTTCACGAAGCCCAGCTTCTCCCACCAGCCATCCTGGTTCCCAAGTCTCTGTGAAGGTTGTGACTGCCAACGCCACTGCCACGTCCACAGGGAGGTTCAGCGTGGTGTCTGGGCTGCAGGTGACCAGGCATCTGACTAACAGCCATACAAACAAGCTGGGTAATTATCCCTGTCTAGAGAAGCACACAGTGAGCTCCAGGTTGGTTCAGCGGCTTACTGATGTTATCAAGGCCCAGGCGTGGCCGTCCTCAGCCGGTCGGCGTTGCGTCTTTGGGCTACAAGACAGCAGGTCCAGACGCAGGCATCACCTCCTGTCTCATTACGGCATCCTAAGCAGATTCGGGGAAGCGGGGCTCTTCTTGCATCTCCCAGGAGGCAGATTCTCTCTCATGTCTTCTTGGTGGGAACTGGGTCAAAGGACCCTCCCTACCTATAGGAGAGCCTGGAAAAGAGCACCTAGCATAAGTAGCCCCCACTGTGGGAGGTGGACTTGCCAGCACACAAGGGGGAAAGTCTGACTTTGCTTAGACGACTCGTACCACCTGCTGTGAGAGGCTTCTAGGTGAGAGACTGGCTGGACCCCAGGGCCATGCAAAGACGTGGAAAGGTAGGGCTGGTCTGAGGCAGACTTTCTGACAGTGTTTTATCAGGTCAAGACCAGAACTGGAATCCAGGTTTCCCATTTTCTATTTTTTTTTTTTTTGGTCACAAATCCCATAAAACTTGCAAATATAACCACAATGAAGCATGCATGAAGAGCAATTGAGGAAAAAACCCACCCACCCATCCATCCTCCATCCATCCACACTTTCATCCTCCCATCCTTCCCTTGCCCATCCATCACTTTATCCTTCCTTCCTTTCAGGCTTTCATCAATTCTTCTTACCCCCACCCGCCCAATTCCCCCTCCTTCTGCCCACTTTTTCCATGGTAAGGTAGCCATTTGACCCAGTTATGGCCAATGAGACACACGAAGTCTGCTCCTGGGGAATACGTTCACCCCTTATGTAAGGGAGAGACATTTAAAGAGAGGTCTCTTTCTCCCTCTCTTTCTCAGTACACTATCAGGAGAGGGTAAGATGCTTGGAGCTGCCACAGCCATCTTGCAGCCACGAGGAAAGACACATGAGGACGAGACATCCTGAGTGTCACACGGAGGGCCGCAGTGAGGAAGGGCCATCTCGTAGTTTCTGGGCCCACAGTCCAGTGCAAGAGAGAGAAATGGGTGACTACGATCGGATGTGAACTAGCTCTGTGGAGTAAGTGCTGGGAGGGAAAACAGGGATGGAACTGGGGAGGGGTGGTGAGGTCCACACAGAGGCTCAAGGAGGACCAGAAGCGAGCTGGAGAAGGGGGTTCTGGGCCGAGGGCAGAGCCCGGACAGACCATCACGGAGCTGCGACGCGCTCAGGATGGAAGGTCAGGGGGTTTTCCGGGGGAGAATGCTGGGGAATCAGGTGGAAGCAAGCAGTCTTGACGAGAAAGAATGGGATCCCCTGATCTGGCTCAGCTGCTCCCCTGGCAGCCCTGCTCCCGAGGTGCCGTCCATTGCCTCCTTCCTGCCAGGTTCACCAGCGGGGCACACTCAAAGACCAGTTTGGGCCTTGCTTTTCTCATGATGTTGAGAACCTTGTGGCCTTTGATATCTGCTCTGAATTCCTGTTTCCTGCTCTCCACGGTCTGGGGGGTGGACAGAGGAAGACAAACCCCTCCCTGGCCGCCCCTCCTTGCCCCTTCCCCGATAAGGTCAGTATCAAAGGCCCGAGGAGGAAGGCGGCAGAATCAGGGCTGCGCTGGGCTGAAAGACTCCTCACACATGGAAACAGCTGACGACCTGGCCCCGAGCCGTCACCTCGGAATGCCCGGCTCACCCTGGGCCCTTGGCAGGCTCGGCTCCTGGGAGAAAACCTCCCCGGAGTGCACTGTTGACAACCTGCAACAGCGGGGGGGGCATCCCGAAAGATGGCTAGAGAGCAAAGGGAATGGAAGTGGCCCGGCCCACAAGGGCTCCTCCCGTGCGAGGTGGGCTGGGGAGCGGTGGGGACGCGCTGCCCAGGAGACGGAGGCCAGGGCAGCACAGGCCCTGCCTGCTCGGGGAAGCGCCTCCCCCGGCACGTCAGCTGCTTCCCCTGACCTTCCAGCAGGGCAGGAAGATGGAAGCAAAGGAAATGGAAAACACAAGCTACACACCAATTTAGTTTTCTGCTGCTTGGAGCTCAATTTTTGCTAACTTTGGAAATCCCAGAAGAGAGAGGTGCTTCTGTTGAGACATTTAAAAAAATATTTTTGAAGGGAAACAAGACAGGCTATTCACCGCCAGTGGGGGAGCACGGCTCTTTGGATGTCTAGTACCCCCACTGCACTCAGGAATTTGATTTAATGAGAGGACACGGTGCTGAGAGCATCCTCTCTCAGTCCCAGCCCTGGGCCACGAAGGCCTCGAAGCAGCACAGCCGGGCTCTGAAGCTTTATTTCATTTCCACGCCCCCGCCCCGACCCCCTGCCAACTACCCAGGGAGAAAGCACAGCAGGTGCTGACCCGGCCGTCCTGTCCCCAGGGCCAGAGGGGGCCAGGCAGGTCTCCAAGCCCAGCACCTGCATCAGAGCTGGGAAGTAGGGGCTGGTGCTCATGGGAGGCCTGGCCTCCAGAGCCCAAGGTGGCTGCTTTCTCCCTGCCAGTCAGGTCTGGGCCTGGGCAGCACCTACTTCTAGCGGGAGGCCTTCCCTGATCCCTAAATCTAAAAACAGGGCCTCCTCAAATGGATTGCCCTCCATCTCCTTACCCAGATTTGTTATGGTTATTCTTCTCTGCAGTGGTTGCCACTACTGAAAATACACTGCTCATCTCTTTCCTTGTTTATTTTGTTTGCCTGTTTCCTGTCTCTTGCAGTTGACTGTCACCTACATGAGGGCAGGGGACACTTTTGTATCACCAGGGGGACCCCATGCACAGAGCAGGAGCTTAATGAACATCCGGAGCATGTGCCTCTGTGTGCGCGAGGGTGTGTGATCTCCCAACACGGAGCCTGGCGTGCAGCACACACAGGTGCCATCAGCATCGTTCCTACATTGATTTGCTAACTAGGCATTTGCTCGCTCAACGCTCACAACAGCTCTTTAAAGCAAGCAGCAGAAACCCCGGTTTGCAGTTGGGACACCTGAAGCTCAGAGGGGTTATGTGAGCGGTCAGTGCCCCACAGCCATGCGGTCGTGTCTGAGGCCCGGGGATTCCTGACGCCAGCGGCCCCTCCCCAGCTGCTTTCCCTGGGTAGCTGGACCCTGTTCCCTGCCTGCCCCCAAGCCTGGGACCCCAGCGTGCCACACAGGGCACTACCTGCACTCCTCCCGTGTCGCCTGGCAGGGTTCCCACCATGGAGACGGGTCTCAGGCGTCGTGGGGTGCCCAGCAGTTAGCCTCTCGCTGTGATAATGACGTCCTTCACTCGGCCTACTTGCTGGTGGTCTGCGATGGGAGGTTGTGCTGCAGGGCCCCGGCATCCATGGGTGACGGAACGCGGGAGAGGAGCTGCTGTGGAGCACTCGTAGGTCAGATTTCATCTCTGCAGCAACAGCCCTGCCCGTTTCTCACACACACACACACACTCATCCCTGCCCATTCACACACACACACACACCCCTACACCCCTGCCCATTCACACACACACACACACCCCTACACCCCTGCCCATTCACACACACACACACGCCTACACCCCTGCCTGTTCACACACACACCCCTGCCCATTCACACACACCCCTACACCCCTGCCCATTCACACACACACATCCCTGCCCATTCACACACACACACACACCTACACCCCTGCCCATTCACACACACACACACACCCCTACCCATTCACACACGCACACACACACACCCCTGCCCATTCACACACACACACTCATCCCTGCCCATTCACACACACACACACACACACACACCCCTGCCCATTCACACACACACACACACACCCCTGCCCATTCACACACACACACACACACCCCTGCCCATTCACACACGCACACACACACCCCTGCCCATTTCACACACACACATACACCCCTGCCCGTTTCTCACACACACACACACCCCTACACCCCTGCCCATTCGCACACACACACACACCCCTGCCCATTCACACACACACACACCCCTGCCCATTCACACACACACACACTCATCCCTACCCATTCACACACACACACACTCATCCCTGCCCATTTCACACATACACACACCTGCCCATTGCACAAACACACACCCTTGCTCATTTCACACACACATACCTGCCCATTCATATACACACACACACCTGCCCATTGCACACTCACCTGCCCATTTCACATACACACACACCTTCCCATTTCACACATACACACCCCTGCCCAATTCACACACACACACACCTGCCTGTTCAAACACACACACACCTGCCTTTTCACATACATATACACACACCTGCCCATTCACACACACACGCACCTGCCCATTTCACACACACACCTGCCCATTTCACACTTCCTTGCCCATTTAATACACATACCTTTCCATTCACACACACATACCTGCCCATTGCACACTCACCTGCCCATTTCACATACACACACACCTTCCCATTTCACACATATACACACCTGCCTGTTTCTCACACACACACACACACACACCCTGCCCATTCACACACACACACACACACGTGCACACACACACACACACACACCTGCCAGGTCACTGAGGCGGGAACCTTCTTGCATCCACTGTGATTGTTAGCTCTTGGCATTGGCAGCTGGACCAGCAGCCACAGGCCTACGGAAAGACCCCAGGGCTGAGGACACTGGCACTCTCTGGCCCCCAGGAGGATGGGCTGAGGCCGGGGCCAGGGTCTCCTTGACTTGGGGGATGGATGACCTTCCAGTGGACAGTGACAGGTCCTGAAGCCAGAAGGAACCACAATTGTGTTCTGTGTCCAATGGGATAATTCAGTGCTGATTAAAGTGTTGTGGGCAGAATGACTGCTGAGCAAGGATGGAACATGCCAGTGCCCAGGAGCCAGACCAGAGAGAGGAAACCCACGGCTGGAGCAGCTGGGGCCTGTGGTCACTCCAGGTTTCACAGTGTGAGGAACTGCTGGGCTGTTTTCCAAAGGTGGCCCCATTTTACATTCCCAAGAGGTTCTCTTCAGTGATGATTTTTTCCTCTTCTGTTTATTCCTAGCCTCTAAGTTGTTGGCAGTGCTCATCTGCTGTGAAAAAAAAGGGAAAGTATCAGCCACTCGGTTGCACCTGACTCTTTGTGACCCCATGGACTGTAGCCTGCGAGACTCCTCTATCCATGTAATTCTCCAGGCAAGAATACTGGAGTGGGTTGCCATTTCCTACTCCAGGGTATCTTCCCAATTGAACCCACGTCTCCTGCATTGCAAGTGGATTCTTCACTGTCTGCGCCACCAGGGAAGCCCTACTTTCAGTTTTGGTTTTTGTTTTCCCCCTGAAGATAAATAATGTTACCTAGGGTTTCCTAGGTGGCACAGTAATAAAGAATCCATCTATCAATGCAAGAGATGTAAGAGGCTTGGGTTTGATCCCTGGGTTGTGAAGATCCCTTGGAGAAGGAAATGGCAACCCATTCTAGTATTCTTGCCTGGGAAATCCCATGCACAGAGGAGCTTGGTGAGCTACAGTCCATGGGGTCACAAAGAGTTGCACACGACTGAGCACACACCACATTACCTAGCACTGTATGAAGATGGGCCACAGCTGACTGTACCATCCGGGGTGCTCCTGGATTCCAGAAGTGGCCACATACTCTGAGGTGGTTGGGACATCTTGGGGGAGGGCCGTCATAAAGGACAGAGGTTCTGTGAAGAAACGGGAGGTGGGGTGTGAAGGCCCACTCTGGAGGTCGGCTCACAGGGCCCACGGGGGTTTGTGTAGACTGCAAGGCCCCAGATCCAGCAGAGGCTCTGCAGTCAGCGGGCATCACTGCTGTGGGGATGAGGTACACCCCATTTAACAGTGAGAAGGGGTCCCTCTCCCCCTCATCTCTGCCTCTGGAGTCCTACCTCCTGGCCCTTGGGAGCTTGGAATGGAGGTTGTTCCAGGCCACATGGGATGTTGCCACTAACCACATCAACATCTCTAAAATTAATAACATGAACTCCATAGTGAAGGGGCCTGGGCCAGAAATGGAGGGCTGCTGGCTGCTTCCTGGGTCCTATGCTGCAGTAGGGGGCAGGACATACGGGGACAGTGGGGAACCCTGGGTGGACACCATCCTGTTGGAACATGAGACCTTAAGGACTTGGCCGTGACTGGAGTCAGATCCATCCAGGTGGATCAGGAGAGGAGGTGCAGAGTTCTCATTTAGACACACACACTGTTATATGCTTATGACTTACATAGAAAATAGGCTGTTTCTGCTTGGAGAAGGAAATGGCAACCCACTCCAGTATTCTTGCCTGGGAAGCCCATGGACAGAGGATCAAGGTGGGTCACAGTCCATGGGGTCGCGAAGAGTCAGACACAACAGGGGACCGAAGAACAGCTCCCCAGCGCACCTCTCCCGTGGGTTTGGTTTAAAAGGGGCCAGTGCTTTTACTGAAGGGATGGTCTACGATTCGGGTTTTGTAGAAGTCAGAATTCTCGCACTCTGAAGCCTTCGGAAGGTCATCCAGTTCAGACCAGCCACTCCCTCTCACCAAACAGATCACTCCACCGACCTTAAGATCAGGAAGGGTCCTCTGGGTGAGCCCTGAAAGCTCTTTCTCTAAGCTTCCTTACCAGCAAATTGGGCAGAACAATGGGTCCATCTCAGAAGGCTGCTGGGAGGACTGAATAAGATACCCGTGTAATGTTCTTAGCGTCGTGCCCGGCACACTGCGAATGTCCCGTAAAGGACTGTATTACTATGCCAGCATCGTCACGAGCACACAGTGTCTTCTTTGTGTCCATACCTTGCCTTCTGCATCGATCAAGCCAGCGGCTGGCTCTTGAGTGAAAGCTCCCTTCCCGGCTTGCGTATGGTTACGACACAGCGGGCAGAGCGCTCAAGACCGGCATGCACCAGCTCTTGCCTTCTCCAGGGCTGAGGCTGGAACACAGGAGACAGCCCAGGTGGCGCAGCGGGCGTCTGAGATGCCCGCCCCCTAGTGGAGGGACGCGGCTCCTGAACTCAGGTGTGCGTGGAGGCAGGTGACCGGGTTAATTTTCACGTCATCTGAATCCAGTTCTCCTGAAACACAGACAGCAAAAACGGTGATCAGAGTCACAGGCAACGCAGACAGAAACATACATAGAGGCATTGACTGCGTGTGATCCCTCTCTCGGGCTCTGTGTTTTAAATCTATACTCAGAGCCAGAAAGCAGGATAAAGGGAGGGGCTGTCAAAGGGGAGGGGGCTTCCTTTTGAGCCAATAAGACACAGTGCTGACGGTTGCCAACGCTGTGAAGATACCAAACACCGCTGAAATTCACACTTTTAAGTGGGCCAACTGGTGTGTTAGGCAAATTATATCCCTATAAAGTAATTTTTTAAAGTTGACTTTTTAAAAAGGTTTTACTGTTTTTAGATATTTCCCCCGAAATTCATTTACTATGAAAACGGAAAACACACATAAAAATGCATTTTTCTCAAAGGATTTATTTGCATTCTTTGAGTTCCAGATGTGTTTGCTGTCAGAGGAGAGGTCTTGCTGAGGTCAGCAGTGAGACCCTGGCGCATGCCAGTTGTTGTGGAGATGGGACATGTCCAAGCCCGGACGTGAACTTAAGTCTCTTGTCCAGTTGTGGAGGCCAGACCTTAGGAGCAACTGGACAGCAAGAGAGAAGACAGCTCAAAATCAGGGGCTACGCTATTCACTGAGTGAGCTGAAAGAAGGATATTATTGAAGGAGGGCTTCGTGAAGGAGGGACTTGAGTTAGAATGTGACAGGTTTAATAGAAAGAACAAGTAAAATATCATACGAGCAAGTAAACTAAACTAACACAGAGTTAGGACAGCGCTCAGCTCTCCCTCCTGGGGCCCTCCCGTGGACTGGCGCTCTGCTCCCCACATACCATGGACACGCTCCAGAAAACGAGTGCATCACCCAGGAGGAGAGGTCTCACTGACTCCCACTCCAGGCTCCAGCTGTGGCTTCCACTGGCCGACCCCAGCCAGAAGCCAGAGGGCAGGGGCCACTGACTCAGACCACGAGACCAGTGCACAGGTTAAGAGGAAGGAAAAGACAGAAAGTGGGGGGAGGGCTGCATGGAGGCATCCAGCACCTCAATATGGGCTGCAGGGAATTAGGCAAGACCCAGCAGCATCACCCAGGAAGGGGTTTTCCAGACAGGCTGTCAAGGTGGTGACGGGGCCCTGAGTTGCCCCAGCTCTCAGTAGCAAGGGGGCTACGGTGCCACTTTTATCCTTAGAAGGTGATAGTCTCTGAGTCAGGGTCTCTTCATTCATTTCCTGTAGATCCTCACTACCCGACGTGGTCCCCAGACACCACCTGGGAGCTGGTTGGAAACCCAGGATCTCGGCCCCACCCACACCCTGCCCTAGCACCTGCATCTCAGCCACACACCTGGTGACACAGTGACTTGGGTGCAGCCTGCTCTCAGGCTCAGCTTTGCATCACCCCAGGGAGGCTGGGCTGGGGAGGGGGTGAGTAGGAGCAAGCCGGTGGGAGGTCTCTCTGCTGCAGGTATCGGGAGTAGGAAACCATGGCTGCTGACCTGTCTGGGCCCCAGGGTGGACTCTGCTGGTCCACCACCTCGCTCTTCCTGCAGACGCCAGGGCCAGCCCCATGTTTCTCTCCACACAAGCTACCTGCATCCACTTCCTGTCCATCAGCACTGACGAGCAAGATGAAATTTAGCTGCCGACTAACTATATGTCATATCACCCGTTCGTAACTTTGGGCAGATGTATAAAATCCACTGATTATCAGAAAATGAACGCCATGTCTGGTGTGCACATTCTTTATCTCTATAGACCCATCTGGTCCATGGCCAGCAAGCGAGAAGCTCCGAGCCCAGCAAGGAGGCGGGGAGATGACGTCATGTACAGTGCTGAGGAGAAGGAGGCGGGGAGATGACGTCATGTACAGTGCTGAGGAGAAGGAGGCGGGGAGATGACGTCATGTACAGTGCTGAGGAGAAGGGGATGACAGAGGATGAGATGGTTGGATGGCATCGCCGACACGATGGACAAGAGTTTGATTAAGCTCTGGGAGTTGGTGATGGACAGGGAAACCTGGTGTGCTGCAGTCTGTGGGGTCGCAAAGATTAGGACATGACTGAGCAACTGAACTGAATTGAACAGTGCGGTGCGGGGCGGGGGGGTTGCTGCAGCTGTATCATGCTTCATGTTAAAAAAAACATGGGGTGGGGTGGCCAGTCTCAGAAGTGTTTCACCCATGATGACTGTGTATAATCCATGAAGCACCGGGATCTGTGTGCTCTTGAGTCACAATCCATCTCTGTGTGTGTCATGTCGTCAGCACGAAAAACGCTCCACACTTAGACGCTTTCCAATCCATCACCATGTGTGGGGGCTGGGGGCTGTTCCTGGGCTGTTGCCAATGACACAGAGGTGGGAGAGGTGGCTTTGATGATTCCAACCACGACACTTTCAGTGGGTCTGGGAGAACCCGGTCACGGGGCCAGCATCCAACTACCGCCTCTCCAGGACTTTAGGCTGCAGCGGTGATTCGTCCCCCCACCGCCTCCACCAAGCCTTTCCCCCAATCCCTACTCTTGAATCAGCTGTCTGCTTTCTCCACAGGGGTCCTTTGGAGACCACAGAGCCTCTTTTTTATCCTTTGACATGATTTTCAACAAATGGAAGAAGAGCACAGAATTCTCAAAATACCCTTGCCTGAGATTCTACAAATGTGAATATTCACCTTATTTGCTGTGCCCTCTCTCTCTCTCACACACACACAGAGGAAGCTGTGGCTAAGACTTGCCTTTCCACCAAACACTATCACATACGCTTCCTAAAAATGAGGGATCCTCTTCTATAACCACAGTACAATGATCAAAATTAATAAACTAAAATTGACGCAACTCTCAGCCAATCTACAGATCTTATTCAGACTCTAGTTACAAGAAGGCTCTTGCTTTGCTGAAAGTGACGGAGCTACAGGCTGCAGAAGACATGTGCCATCTCCAGATGGCTCCTGCCCTCCTCTGCCTCTCTGTCCCCACTACCCCCGCCCGCATCATTTTTCATTTTCGCTTGCTCCTAATGATGTCTTACGTTAGAACAGTAGTCATGCTGACGACAGGAACGGTTTTGCACGGGCTTCTCTTTCTGTAATAAATCCCTCTTTCAAACAACACTGCAATGAGTAGCCAGCAGGCCCTGTGTTTCAGAGCCATGAATTACCACTGAGGGCTGCTTCGGTTTAGTGACAACTTATGAAACTAATTGTGTGTGTGTGTGTGTTTTGTGGAAAGCATGTGTACACACATGTGTGAGCAGAGAATATTACGGAGGCAGTTGAGTTAGGTTATCTGGGTGGCGGCCTTGAATTTATATAGCCCTCCTGCTTTACTCTGAGCAAGTCAATTCAGTCCTCTGGAGCCTCGCCCATCGCCTGTCGGCTTTCAGCAAGACTGCCTTGTTATTTAAAGGGGTGTTTTAGCATTCTGAGTCCACTGATACACTGAGTGTGCCGTGTACTTGAGAGCCTGTGCACGTGTGTGTCTGTGCGCATGTGCACATGTGTGCTAGGGAGGGGTGTATGGACCTGGTTCCACCTCTCTGCCTTCCCCTGGCCTGGGCTCCGTCCTCATGCTGGCTCCTGCTGGAGGCAGGCTGGTTGTCAGTGGCAACTGGGACACCAGCTTCCCTGCTGGTTCCTTGGGGAGGCAGCGCCACCGCTACCTGTACTTAAGTCCTCCCTCTGCCTGACTGGACCACTCTGGTAAGAGTCCGCCCCAACCCTAGCAATAGTTGCCAGGGGACTGCCAGGAGCTGACTGCCAGAAGCCTGGGTCTCAAATCAACCACTGGCTAGGGGGAGGGGCTTGCTGTGCCCACCTATCTAAACCTGTGCATGCATCCCTGAGATGCAGGAGTTCTCAGCATGTGCTGATTACCTGGGAGGAGTAAAATGTTGAAAATATTCAAGAATTTTTCAGGAACCAGGAAGGTAGTGTGGATGCTGGACAACCAGTGGTGTCCACCACAAGTCCCATTTTACAGATGGACAAAGGGAGGCTTGGGCAGATTAAATTGCCCAAAGCTGCAGGCACTTGAAACTCAGTATATTTTGGCTTCAAAGCCCATGAATTTTCCATTATATCTTGATCCCTTCTTTCAGGTTGAGGTCAGTTGTGCCAAGCAATTTAGTGGACTACCAGTTGTTCAGCCAGCTTAGAGGCACCTATTTTAAAGATTGTTTATAGCAGGGATGGGCTTCCCTTGTAGCTCAGTTGGTAAAGAATCTGCCTGCAATGTGGGAGGCCCAGTTTTGATCCCTGGGTTGGGAAGATCCCCTGGAGTTCTTACCTGGAGAATCCCATGGACAGAGGAGCCTGGTAGGCCACAGTCCATGGGGTTGCAAGAGTCAGATACAACTTAGTGACTAAACCACCACCATTATAGCAAAGATGGCCATAGCAGCGCTAGTCATAACAGCCAAGAGGTGGAAGAAGCCCAAGCATCCATCAGCGTCTAGCTACATAAACAAAACGTGACCCATCCACACAGCAGAATATTATTCAGCCTTAAAAAGGAATCATGTCATACTGACATGTATGACACGGATAAACCTTGAAGACAGTAAGTGAAGTCAAACATGCCGGTCACAAAAAGATAAGTACTGTAGGCTTCCAGGTCTATAAAGTACAAGAGGAGTCCAATTCATAGAGATAGAAAGCAGGATAGTGGGGGCCAGGGACTGAGGGACGGGGTGGGTCAGTGTTCAGTTAGGAAGACGAAAAAGCTCTAGAGAAGTTCTGGGTGTTGATAGTTGAACAACAATGTGAATGTACTTAATGCCACAGAACAGTACACTTAAAATGGTTAAACCGGTAAATTTTATGTCAGGTCTATTTTACCACATTAGGAAAATAAACAATTTTTTTAAAACTTGCATTTTAGAGAAGTCAGCATTTTAATCTCTTGTATGGAGAAGCTCTGCAGCAGTGTTTACATCTGTCATTACTCTGGTCTCTCTGAAGCCTTACTAAACTCATTAGCCACACCAGTGTGGCTGTCTCCGATTCTCTTGAGTGTCACCTGGAAAAGTGAGCAGCAATACACACTTGTAAACACTCCTCCTAACAGCACCCGTTGGCCTGACGCTAGAAATGAGTGACTTTCCGTTACGAGTTGAATCATGTCTACACTTTGAGTGAAGCCTGGCCTGTGTGTCCTGTGCCATCCATCACCCTGGCATCAGCACAGCCCATGTGGTACATGCAGCCAAGGACCCCTCCACCCAGCGTGGTCTTGCATCTCTCCCCAGCCAGAAAGCACACGTGGGCAGGATGCATGGGACCAGGGCAAAGGTGGGTTTTGTCAGTTCCACGAGTCACCATGAAATGGGCCGAGCTCTGTAAACATGTGTTTGGCAAGTGGTCCCCCTGTGGGCGGCAGAAATCCAGATGGAGGAAGTCAGCTGAGCACAATGTCGGATTTTACATCTGCTGACCCCGAAAGCATGTGGGGCCATGGAGAAGTGGGCTGTTGGTCCACCAAACCTTAGCGCACCAGCGTGTTTCTGGGGGCTCGTTCAGATCTAGAAGACAAAGGCATAGGGTCCACAAACCCCGCCAGGCCCGGGTGTGGTTAGAGCTGGGAGGAGCCTTGGCATCATCATCCAGACGGGCTCTCGGCTTCACAGACAAGCAGCAGCCCAGGAAGGTGGAGAACACTGCCCAAGGATGGGGCCTGAATCTCGGGCTCTGTGAGCTCAGTGCAGTGTCCTCTGGCCTCCTCACACCGGACAAGGCTTCGGCAAGTAGCCTCTGCCGTGCACTGCTGTGCCCTTATCCCCTAAGGCCGGTGCCCTGCCTCTCTGACTTCTGGTTCCCTGTGACACACAGGAGGCTCACCCGACACAGTGCTCGGTCCGTAAGGGACTGACGGTGGAGAGTCACGGTGCAGGAGAGGCCAACAGAGCCTGGTGTACACGGGGGTCAGAGGGAGGTGGGGGAGACCGTCAGCAGGGGAGAGCTGCTTCCCCATCCGTGTTGGTCCTGGACCCCCACCAGGGGGTCTGTAAATACCCCCCCACACACACCTTCTTCAGTTACCTCTGGGAGAGGCTGCTTTCCTGGTGGGGCTGTGACGGACACAGGGGTCGATCATCAGACCACAGGAATGCTGACATCGAGATTCAAGGTGAGGACAACATGTAGTCTGTACAGCTTGGCAATCCTCTGGAGATCTCACACCAAAGGGATGAAGCATCCAGGAAAAGTGACCGGAGGCCTGGGCTACTCATGCCATTGTGGATGTCTGCAGACAGCAGAGCTCATTTGGTGGGCTCCCCTCAGATGGGAGGGCGTCTGAGGTCTCAGGGCTGCTCTTGAGAGTCCAGTCAGAGTTCAGGCTATTGTATCACTAACTAGCACCCTCCCTCCTCTCCTGTCCCTACCTCCCTCCTTCCTTTCCTCCCTCCCTTACTTCCTCTCTTCAGGAAACGCAGAGCCCAAGAAGACAGAGGTAAACCCCATTCCAGAGCTTTTAACCCAGCCCAGCAGTTATACACTGTGGTCTTAGACCCTGACGTCTTTCCGGGCAGTCAAGATGGTTTGGAATGTTACAGGATTGTGCATGGGTAGAAGACCCATTCAACTTTCAGGACAGATCAATGCAATTGAATACAGTAGGTACAAAAAGTTCACTGATTTGGTTTCAG